TCAGTTCGAACCCGCTCTTCTGTTTCATTTCGTTGAAACAGGTTTGCTGTTTCGCCCATAGGCTGTAATGGGGAAGCTCAAGACAGCCTATAACTTTGTCATTTCTAGCCTGATTTGAATGAAACTCGCAGGAATGGTAGCCCCTTCTGAGGGCATGCAGGCTGCCAAGTTTCAAGGAGATAGGTGCAGGGTTTTGGGAGAAACTGCATCTCAAAGTCTTGAAAGCAAAACTCAGGTCACGTGTATGTGTTAAGCCACAGTGGGGTAAAACCTGCGGGCATGCTAGCCCCTCCTGAGGCCACAAAGCCTGCCACGTTTCAAGAAGATCGGTGCAGGGGTTTGGGGGAAACTGCATGTCAAGCTGAAGACAAATAAAACTTGACATGGGTGACACTGTCTGTGTATTAAGGCGCAGCAGGGTGAAAGCTGGAGGGATGCTAGCCCCTGCTGAGGCCACAAAGCCTGCCAGCTGTCGAGGAGATCGGTGCAGGGGTTTGGGGTTCTGAGGCCCTGCACCTCTGGCTGCTGACAAGCAAAACTTGTGACATGGGTGCTTGTGTAACTGACTGTGTCCGTCTTAGGGCACAGGGGGGTGAATACTGCAGGCCTCCTAGGCACTGCTGCGGTCAGGAAGCCTGCCAGCTGTCAAGGATATATGTGCAGGGGGAGTCTGGGTTCTGGGGCCCTGCACCCCTAGCTGCTGACAGGCAAAACTGGAGCACACAGCTCAGTAACTGACACCAAGGCAGAAAGCAGGGCAGGTCAAACCATGCTGCCTTTTCTGCAGTTTTTCCATCCCTTCCCCAGAGCACTGGGATTGGAAGGGACCTCAGGGAAGGATGACAGTCAATAATGAGAGCACTCCATCCCCCCTCCTTCCCCCTCCCACTCCTTACCTTAGTTTCTGTTTCCCTGCAGGCAAGCCCAGCTTGAGCTTCACAACTCAAAACGTTTCGAAAATTTCAAAACGTTTCAATTCAAGCCTGTTTCAGAGCTCTCTGTTTTGTTTCTATTTCGCTGTTTTGATCTCAGAACGAGCTGAAACGAAACTGCCGGCAAAATTTCACGCAGCCAGTAAATATACCTTCTAATAGAATATGGTCTTGATAGCAGCACTGTGCAGTTCCCAGAAAATCCAGTTTTGAGAATTTGGATGTCATAGGTGCCCATCTAAAATTGGAGACAATGAAAATTGTATCATAGAGTTCACGATTAATGAATGCCTTCTTTAAGACTGTTTCAGTGGTCATTCACAATTCTTTTTCCAAAATCTTGTGACTTACAGGCATATTCCTTTTGTCTTTCCCTTTTTCACACTTGCTGTCAACTCTCAGGTGATTTTTTAGAGGTGGAGTTGAATTGGTTAATTTGCTTTGTAGTTGAGTCATCTGGACCAAAAGACATTTTACCATCCATTTCAGTACCTCCTGGCATACCTCAGAAATGGTTGAAATAAGGAGCTCAGAATTGCATTTTTCTAATCCTAAGGAAGAAAGAAAATCAGCCCAAATTTCATGAAAGTCAGTTCAGCAGCCTTAAAGCTATGCATGTTAAAGCCGGAGTGCATTAAGCATTTCTATTTTGATTTTACAGTGCTCTGAACGTAACATTGTTTGGAATGCTGGGTGCCTGCTGAATCACTTTAGCTTCAGGCTGCTTTCACCTGCTTAAGGCTCTAAAGCTAAAGGTGGCTTCAACCCTTAAGGCTGCCAATAGTATGGAGCTGCCTTAAGCATTTTGGCCTGATTCTGGTCTCACACGATTTTTTTTAACTTGACCTAGGTGCAGAATATTCAATCCAATCCTGCAGTTTTTGGCTTGGGGCCTGAGGTTAGCACTGCAGGTTGTTGGCAAGAACAGCCGCCACAAGCCACTGTTGCCCATATGCATATTTTTGCATGCCAGTGAAACCAGCAAACTAAGGGATCTGCTAACCACGCTGGCACTAGCAGACTGGATTGCTGCACAGATAGTCAGCAGACAGCCCGGGGCATGTAAAGGCTGAAATGTTGTACTCTGTGCTTTTCCCAGTCCCAGAATTTCATCTGCAAGTTTAAATGCCCAAGTGCACAACATGCCTGAAATAAGGCTGCTTTGAAACCTTGGACTTCTTGAATTTTCTGACATGTATGTCCTGGTTTCCCAAACATTAACAGTGCACAGATACATTTTGGTTGGATTTTACCGTGTGTGTGTGTGTGTGTGTGTGTGTGTGTGTGTGTGTGTGTGTGTGTAGAAGCCCCATTAGGGACTAGGCCCATAAATCAGCACAGCTATGTTTTTCCTGTTTTGTAATCAGTGTAAAAGAAATATGCTTGACAAATATGACTGAAATAAAGTGTGGGGGTGCCAGATTTTTTTGTGTTCTCTAGTCCTGTTTAGCTAATGCTTCAGGTTGATTTTACAGTGTTTATCCTCATGCTGGTAGTATGAACTGTTTCTATTAGACTCATAAAATTCTGAAGTCAGTGTTGTCAGCTACTTCTTTTTGTATTTATTAGCCAGAGTGAGTCATATTCTGACACACTTGTTGGCACTGAAGAGATCCTTACTGTCATATAGCCCAGTTGATTGTAGTAGAACTACTGAAGAAGGTAAGATATGACCTGGGATCTGGGTTTTCTGTTTCCCACTGAAAAATGGAAAGAAATGAGGATTTTCCATTTTAACTGAGAAAAACATGATTTCTCATTTTAACAGAGAAACACACGGACTTTCCACTTTTGCAAAGAGCTCTCTGCAGGCTGGCAGAGTTCCAGCCTGCAGGGGAGTGGGAGGAGCGGGGTCAGGCAGGGACCATGTGCATGTATATTGTGGGCAAGCAGTTATTTTGTCTGGAGGGTCGCTTAATGAGTGATGCGCTGTCGAGGGCCTCAAGGGTAGCCCCGTCCCTTGACAGGTGCTCTGCTCCCTGATCACCACCTTGGGACTGGAAGTCCTGCCCCTAAACCCTGACCTTTAATGCCAGAAGTCCCTCCCCTGACAAAAAAATATTTTGTCATGATTTGTGATTGCATAGTATAGCTAGAGATGACTGGATAATAACTCAAAAATAAACTTGTATTTACTCTTGTATATTGTGGGGGGATTTAGTCTGGTATGTTGTGGGGGGGGGGGGGAATGGGGGGGGTGTGGTGGGGTGTATGGGATATGTGTATGTGGGGAGGTTTGCGATGGGGTGTATTTGTGTGTGTGGGGGGCAATAGGGTATGTTGTGGGGTGTATATGTGGGGGGTTGTGGGGTGTGGGTATGTGGGGTGTGAGGGGAGATCCCCCCCTACGCTCTCCCCTATGGCGCACAGGCCCTCTTGGTGGTGGCAGCCGCAGCAGCAATAGGCAGGGGCACTTGGGGCGCTCATGCCCAGTGCAGGTGCTGCCACCAGTGGCATGCGGCTCCAGCCAGCGCTGCACATAGAGTCAAGGAGTGCAGCCAGCCCAGCCGCCTCTATCAAATGGGGTTCCCGCAGTGCGTGTGCAGCTCCCACACTCGCGCCACCAGGGAAAGCCCTGTGATGGAGCCGGCTGCCTCTGCAGCTCCCATAACTCCTCCAGAAGTGGGGGGGAGCCCTGGCCCCTGTTTGCCTGGAGAGTCCCGGGACCTGTGCGGCAGGAAGCGGTGAAGGCAGCTGGCTTCATTGTGGGGGCTTCCCCTGGTGGTGCACAAGTGTGGGAGCTGCGTGCGTGCTGCAGGGAGCCCTGCACAATAGAGGTGGGCTGGCCAGGCTGCGCTCTTTGCCTCCATGTGCAGCACTGGCCAGAGCTACACTCCACCAGCATCACTGCCTGCACTCGGCAGAAGCACCCTGAGTGTCCCTGCCTACTGCTGTTGCTGAAAGTGGGAGCTGCACGCCATGGGTGGGGGGAGTGTGTGGGTGGTCCCCAAGCTCCCTCACACCCACACCTTGCCCACTTGAGCTCTGCACTCCCGCCTCCCCTCTGGGTGCAGGCTTTGTGTGCTGCCAGCCCCAGACTCATGCTTCCTGCACCCACCCAGCTGCAGCCCCACCCCCACCACTTCCCCACCTGGTTCCAAGAGGGACCAGGATGCGTGGGTGCCTTGCTTCCACCCTCATGGGCAGAAGGGCTGAGTGGGGTACAGTTAGTTGGTGGGCAACCATGGGCTGGATGAAATTGCCTGGTGGGCTGGATATGGGCTGCAGGTCATATTTTGCCCATCCTGGAAGTATATGAACATGGCTGCCAGGCAGCCTGGAGAGCAGCTCCCGCAGGTAAGTCTGGCAGGGCGGGGGTTGAGGCCCCCAGAGGGAGGGAGTTGGGCAGGGCTGGGGCTGTTGCCCAGCTGGGATGGTGCATGGGGCTTGGGCCCTGGGGCTAGAATACACAGGAACAGAGCCCTGGCAGCAAGCGGGTCGGGGCCATGGGCAGCTTATCATGGGGTTGAGGGAGGGGCTGACTCCCCGCTGCTGTGTGCACTCCCGGGGGGGGGGCACAGGGGGGAACATGTGCCCTCCAGATCTGTGCGCAGGGCAGGGGTACAGGCAGGCTGCCCACTGCGGGATCAGGCTTCCCGCCCTGCTGCCCTCCCTCTGGGGCCTCCACAGCCTAGCAGGCAGTGCCCAGCATGGCAGGGCAGAGTGGGGAGGGGAAGCTCCATGTCACTGCAAGCCCTGCACCACCCTGGCAAGGTGCCCCCTGCCCACCTGGCAGCAGCAGGGTGCACAACTCTGCACTGCTACCCCCACTGCTACCCCCACTACTGCCAGGTGGGCAGGAGGCACTTTGCCAGGGTGGCATGGGGCTTGCAGATGCAAGGAGGTTCCCTACCCAGCCCCACCCTGCCCTTCTGTGCCAGGTCCTGCCCACTGGCCCACAGAGGCCCTAGAAGGAGGGCAGAAGGGCAGGGAGCCCAAGCACTCCGCGGCCAGCCCACCTCTGTCCCCGCTACAGGCTCCACTCTTGCTGTGCTGTCCACAGGGGATGAGGGGCCAGGCTCCACGCTTTGCTTCCCGCTCGGGCTGCAGCAACCACCACCTCCCGCAGGTGGCAGCCGAGGCTTTTGCCCTGCTGCGGGCGGGGGGCGCGGCACGCAGTGGGGGGCTGCAGACCCAGGTCCCTGGCCACGTAGCCTTGGCAGCTGGGGACCCCCTTTGGCAGGGCTGGGGGAGTAGGGGGCTGTGGGTGGAGGGTGAATGTCACTAGCAGGGCCAGGGGCTCTGCGTGCGGAGAGAGGAGCACCTGCAGGGTTGGGGGGCTGTGGGTGGGGAGTGAGGGGCCTGAACTTGTGTCCTGGTGAGCAAAGAGGGCAGAGGGAGCTCTGATTTTCCATAATAAAAAACCCAAAATAAAATACCAAAGTGTACAGGTACTTAGAATTTATTTTATTATAGTGATTGAGGTGCTTGTAGGTTTCCAAATTGCTTTAAAATTGTAAATATATCAATAAAACATTGTGTTCAGTTGGTACCTATATGTATAGTGGCATTTCATTTTAATTCCGGATTTGGGGTTTTTAGCAGAGATTTTGCAGTTTTTATCAGAAAATTTGCAATTTTTAAACAGAGAAAACCAGAATCTGTGGATATGACTTAGCATAAGGCTATGAGGATCTGGCCCTAAAATAATAGAACAGATCAGCTGATCTGCTTCTCTCTCTCTCTCTCTCTCTCTCTCTCTCTCTCTCTCTCACACACACACACACACACACACACACACACACACACACACACACACACACACACGTATGTATCAGTAGATGTATCTGGATGTGCAAAAACTAAAATCTGTTTAGATTTCAAGGGTCACAGCAGACACTGAGCCACAAGTTAAATGAAAATTAAATGTTATGATTATTTATCATTTTAAAAAATTGTCCTTTCTTTGCAGAGGGGCACTATCAAGTTAAAAACATGTTTAAAATGTCTTATCTGTGTTGTTATATCCATTGCTTTATATTTAATAGCCATTCACAGCAGTTGAAGTAGACTGTAGCCTACAACAGCTTATGCCTCTGAACCGAGTTAGTGTATAAGGTGGTACCATGTCCTGCCTTCTGTGTTTTTGTAAAAGCTTTTTATTGAAGACAGAATGTGGGAAGGATTGCTCCTAAACTCTTAATACAGTTTGCTTATACTTTTTGCATTTTTCTTACCTCACACCATGAAAACAGACTTGGCACGTTTAAAATTAGCATAACTTTCTGACTCTCGGGCATTAACATTATGCAGGTATGTTCCTGCAAGGAAACACAGTTTTAAGAATTGACCTCCAATGGAATTAAGTTTTTCACAGTGGTAATGGGAACATTTCTTTTTGGTTTTTGCTGTTTTACAACAGTTGAGCCAGTTTTGAATGACAGTATCCAGTTATTAGCAAGTATATTAAACAAAAAAAAAAAGAATTGGTTTTAAATATAGCCCTGTCCATGTGCCAGAAGGCTGCAGGGGGGAGGATGTTTGCATTTGTTGTATATCACAAAATTAATTAGACACACAAAATAGTTATTGCAGCCTTGTAGAAAAGATGCTGTTGCTTTGCAAAGAAATGGTTTGTAAAGTCACCAGGTAAATATAAAGGTAAATAGTCACCTAAAATAGCAAGTGAGAAGGGGAAAGGAGTCAGAGTAGATTTCCTGGGTTCTTAAACCAATACTTACTCTCTCTCTCTCTCCCTTCCTCCCTCCCTTTTTCTTTCAATTCCTCCAGCATCACATGACCCAGACAGTGATGAGAAGCCTTGCACTGCTGCAGATGCTGCGGTTACATTTTCAGCCTTGACAATAGCTCAGAAGGAAAATCAAGCGTGCCACCGAGTGCTGCCTCCTTTGACTTTAAAGAAGCCCTGTTTGTTGAGCCCTCCTTCTCCTCTGAGACTCACTGATGTACCTGAGCACGCTTCAGATGACTCCTCCGCGCACGCCATTTCTCTTACATCTTGTGTTACAAAGGGCATGAGCTCCTGGTCTCTGCCAGGCGATTGTGAGAAGGCTCCATTCACAATTATGGAGCCTGGAGGCATGTCAGCTCTGACTGGTGACTGCTTGATGCAGCCGAGCCGGACCTGTCTGGGCTGCTTTATTGAATCAAAGGACGGCATTGATGCAGAGCCGGGAATAAGCTTGAAAGTGGGTGATATAAATAGGGATTATGACACCTGTTCAGTCTCTGATATAGGGATTCACTGCATGAGCACAGGAGAAACCATGAGATACGGAGATCAACTGCTTTCAGACCAGCTTTTAAGCTTCCCTATGCATAAATCGAGGGCAGCAGACAAAAGAGATGCGGAAAAATCTGACAGTGATTCAGAGGACCCCACTCAGAAAAATTATTACGAGGGATTACTATTGGACAAATGCAACGGCGAGGAACCTTTACTAACAAATCCCAACCAGGAATGGGGCTATTTTGAATCTTTCATTAGTGAAAGTAAAATTGAGCTGCTTGACCTTTGCTCCAAAAATGAGCTTTCTGTAAATCTGTTTTCTGAGGAAGATGTGGATAATTACATGTTTGATGATGATGATTCAACCTTGGGAAGTGATGTCTGCTCCTTAAAGATTAGATATGAATCTTTCCAGGACAATGTGAGGGAGAAAACCAACGCCCTGCAAGAGGATGCCCAGTTCAATTTCTTCCCCAGTGTGTTTGGCAACTGCACTAAAAGGGACAGCAGGAGTGCCCTGAAGAGAGGGGCTGGCTGTGGCACTGACCCTTCCCAGTTCAAAACTGAAGAGGGCATCATCTGGGGAGAAGAAGACGAGGATGGGGAGGAGGAAGATGGGGAAGAGGAGGAGAAAGCTGCCTTAAATAAATCTTGCAACAGTACAGAGGTGGTGCAGTACATAGGCCCCAAAAGAAGCCACTTCTTGGACTCTGTGAATTCCACAGAGGACTCTGGGGAGTTCAGTGATGACAGCACCTGCACAGAGTCCTCGTACGATGTGCTGCGGGATATAAAGGACTGTAGCAGGTACCTGTCCAGGGAACATTCCACGTCCTTCATTCAGCAGAACTATGGGCTGCGGGCAAAAAGGAAAGTGCGCTACAGCGATGACTACCTGTATGACGTGGATTCCATCGAGAACGAGAAAAATCTGGACAAGAAAGAGTGGGCTCCTGGTGGGCCCAAAGAAGAGGATGATGATGAGTGGTGCCCAAAGAAAAGGCGGAAAGTTTCTCGCAAGGAGCCGCCAGTGATCATAAAGTACATCATCATTAACAGGTTTAAAGGGGAGAAGCATATGCTGGTGAAGCTCAGTAAAGTCGATGCCAATGAGACAACAGTTACCCTAAATGAGGAACTGCTCAGTAAATATGAAAAACTGGCCCCTTTGAAAGGCTTCTGGCAAGAGAGGCAGCAAAGCCGGCTGGATTTTCTTAGATCATCTCTCTATCACAAACAGAATTTCTATTTAAATGGCTCAGATGCTTCATTCCTTCCTCACCCAAGAAAGCGAAAATGCAAACTAGCAAACCGGCATAGGATTCAAAGAATTAAAGCCATTGAGCAATCAGTGAACAAGCTGGGCTCTTGCTCCTCTGATCAGAAGCAGCCTTGCAGCAGTAAAGAGGATGCAGGCCTGAAAGGGATGCAAGCATTAGCCATAGCTACCCCCGGCTGTGCAAACGGATTACATTTGAATGACATCACAGGCATTGCCTCAGTGAAGTGCAAATCGCAGGAAAGGGAATATAAGGGGACAGAGAGGAAAGTGCTACGCAGAATCAAATTCAAAAGTGAAGCCAGGTTGAAATGCAAGAAAATCAAAGCAGCCGCCAGTACAGCGGAGGTCTCCCCCGCTTTGGAGAATCAGGACTCTGCAGCTAGTTTGAAGGATGAGACTATTCCTTGTGCTTCAGATGGCTCCCATCTTTCTGAGTGCCATGAAGATAAGGCTAATAAAAATTCGACATTTCTAACATCCACCTGTTCTGCAGACAAGCCTCTGCCATCTGCAAATATCACCACCAATGTACCCCTGATCCCCGGAGGGTATCTACAGACTTTGCTAGATGCTTCGGATTTGTCGAGTAACACTGGTATCTCATACTTCACCCAGCATCCCTCGGAGCAGTCGCATTCGCTCCCCAGCATCATTCAGGCAGAAAAGCAGTTCTCTGCTCTGCAGCCTGCCCAGAGCTGCGTGCTGTCCCCGCCTTCAGAATCTGAGCTGCAACAGTCTCCCGGCCACTTAGAAATCGAGCAGGGCAACTTCAGCACCATGTGGCCGGCAAACAAGACCACCGGGGGCAACCATCAGGAATTTGCAAGTGACATGAGGGAGGCGTCTGTGCTGTCAAATGAGTTTGGTGGCTCCGCAGGTGCAGACAACCTCCCAGCCTCTGGATATAGTCAAGTAAATCTGAATAGCAGCAAATTGCTATACCAAAAAAATTATATGCCAGATAACCAACAAGTGCAGTCTGATGATTCTTATCAGTCATGTCATTTTAATAATGGAGAGGGGCGCTTTCATTTCCAGCGAGGTACACTAAGTACAGATGATGGCAGACTCATTAGTTTTGATTCAGTGGGCTCATTGTCAGTTAGTTCTAGCAATTACAGTTCTTTAAGTTTAAAATCTTGTGAAAAGGATGGCGAAGATGATATTAATGATGATTTCTTGGCCCACTGCAGTCCCAAGCTAGTGATCCAGCAAAGCATAGATGAAATAACCCCTTTGAAAGAGTCCACAGACCTTTTAGACATCTCCAACTTCACACCCGATAAGTTCCGTCAGTCATCACTTTCGGAGATGTCTCCTCCAGACACTCCCAACCTTTCCCCTCAGATAACTGGGTCAGACAGCAAACCACTAAGCAATCTGAAAGGTTTCCAGGAGAGCACCCAGACAGCACTAAGCAATTCTGATAAGGTCAAGTGGAACTGTGGGGTCCTTCAGACCCAAGATCAGGCAGATAATGGGTTTTCTTTAAATAATCATCAATTTCAGTTCCATATGTTCAACGACGAAGATTCTGTCAGCCTCCTTGAAAAAAGTCCATGCTTGTCAACATTTAATGAGCCATCTGGTCAAATTAGCACCAATAGCAAAGTGTCAAAATCTAAGAGGAAAAGTTCATCCAGCAAGAATATGGGTACAAACCAAAGCTCTTCCCAGAAAAACACTAGGAAAAAATCTCCCAAAGCCAACAAAGGAACTGATAAACCGCAAGGTAAAAACTCCAGGCAGGCTCCCAAATCAACAAGAAAAGGGAAAAATGCAGCAGGAGTCAATGGTGAAAAAGCTCAAGCAGTTGGCAGCAGGGCAGTCAATCAGTTAAATAATACAGCCTCAACAACAAAGGCACTTGCTGACTGCATTCAGCACTGCAGCCCAACCTCTGTAAAGATAGGGAAGCATAATGGACTATCTGGTGAATGGTCACTGGGAAAAGACAATAGTACAGGCTGGTCTGAAACTAGTATAGGAAACACTAACAACCTCCTTGATGATGATCAAAGGGAATTTGAGGAACCTTCCAATATTTTGTCTAATATTGCATCTGGAATGGCAGATGTTCAGAGATTTATGATGGCCTCAATTGAACCGTTGTGGGGGCCTGTGGGTCATAACAGTGTCCCAGATATATTCCGGTCGCCTGAATCTAACAGCCTGAAATTGAAAACTCTTAAAATTTTGGCAGGGACATCACAGGAGTCCAAGAAAAAGGTGAATGGTAATTCTCCGGGAACTGCAAAGAATCACAAGTCAAGCAACAAGGGCTCAAGCAAAAATAATGGCAAAGCCACAACCTGTGATCCCAATCGCCCCAATTGTTCAACTGGGTATAATACAGACATTCACACTCCCTTTTTTGATAAAAGCTATAGTAACCTGAGCACTTTAGGCAATAATGGACCTACCCATAAAAAGCTGTACCGTCATAAATCAAGTTCTAAATCACTGAGGGATGAGAACTGTAAAGTAAAGCGAACAGACCGTGAACAGACCCATAAGGACCCATCTGTGACAGCTTCTTTTGAAAAACTGAGGTAATGCTGCACCAAACTGGCTGGAATGCACCCTTAACTTTCCTACTACCTGCTAAGCCCGCTGTTCCTCATTTTTTCCTTCCTGAAAGCAAGAGTTGCATGAAAGAGACATTCCCCTTTTACAGTTTTCTTTTTTTTTTTTTAAATGCATGAAAATACTTATTACTTGCAAGCTACCTAAAAGAATGACCAATTTTCTGGCTTGGCTGGGGTTAAAAAACTAACAAGGCTACTCTTTTCTGCTGTTTGGCTTCTTCGGTTTTTAATTACTTATTTATTGAAAAAGAAACCCACAAAACAATTAATTACATGCTCTTTTTAATGATTTTGAAAAGGAGAGACTTTTTTTTGAACATTTTGTAAAAAACAAAAACAAAAAAGAGGTTATGCATCCAAAAGCCAAGATATCGAAACTAAAGGCTCTTTAGTTTGAAAATGAAAACTCATTCATAATTGAGCTTCATGTGGCAATTTTGAGTGCTTTCTAGCCCCCTCTGCTGTTTATATCCTAACCTGCATCATAAAGCTTCATCTACTATAAAGCATATGATCCTATGTGGTGACTCCACACAAGCTAACTAAGATGGCATAAAATGTTTGATTTTTCTGCAGGGAATCAGACTTCATTCTTCTTAAGGCAGAAACAACATTTTTGGTTTTTCCTGTGTTTGAAGAAGAGACTCCTTTTTCTAGAAAGACGTTTGATGTTTGTTTTTTTTGTTTTTTGTTTGTTTCTTTCAAAATATGCCTTGTGGTATGTTGAAATGTAAGTGCTGAAATGAAGAGTTTGAAATTGTGGGAATTTATTATTTGAAAGCAAACCTAATCTGGTATTCTCTGTGAAAGACTGTTTTAAAAGTCATACTGTTGTACAGTAGTTTATGCACTATTGCCCACAACAACAAAAAATTGTGCCAAACTATGAACAAGTGACTGTATTGTACATATTTTTACTTCTCTATCAACATTGGGTTGTGAGTGTTTTCTGCAGCTATGCCTTTTGGTTTTACTATAAACATTCCAGTGATTATGTATTAACCACCCCTATGAAAGCACCTGTAACTCACAATGAAATGATGTTCACTTATACAACTACCAAAAGTTTTATGGACATGACTAAAAGTGTGCCAAATTTACTTACCTCATTTCATGGATTCACCCTGCGGTTTAAAGCTCACAAAGGAAAAAAAAAAGGAACTTTAAAACTGATGCTGGGAAAATGTAATCTCCTCTCTTTAGAAACATAAGCAGAAAAAACCCCCATAATGATGAAATTTTGAGTTTCATTATAGGTGAGAGTTGAAATGTTGGAGGAATTCAGAAAATCACTCAAGGTAAGTTTGACAGGAACTCAAACTGCATTTACAGACTGCAAAACAGCTGCTTTTCAAGTGTCTGTTTTCTTAAAGCAAAATCTGTAGCTGAAGATCATTTGAAGTGCAAAGTTGTATTGCTGATACTTTGTATCTCAGTTTTATATATTTTATAATAACCTGGGATAAATTCTAAAATAGTTATAAAATCAAAACTAATACATTTCATATATTTCTTGCTGTTTATTTTTATTTACGTAATTTCTTAAACATTTTTATGCTGATCCTGTCAAAAGTGCTCTCATATCATTGCTTTGGTGTTTTTCTAAGTGTTTAACCTTGCAATGCCAATATTGTTTGAAAATTTAAAAATGAAAACCATTAATTTTGAATGCAATGATGAATTTTTTGCTTTCACTCCGTACATAACATAAGAGAAAACGGAACTATTTGTGGTCTCACCAAGTCTGGGCCAGATCATAAGCAAGTGGACTTTATTAAGACGGTGATAAGTATTGAATGCTAAACATGTTATCAAAAGGCCTTATTTCTAACCCTACCCACTGCACCCTCACCCTCCAACAACAAAACAAACAAAAATTCACTTATTTTCCTTGTGCAACTGAGAGCCTGTGCATTTTGCTGCTGATTTGTTATGAAACCTTGATATGCAAGAGACCTGCTAACTAGGGAACTTAAGGGAGCGGAGGGAGGTAAGGTTAGGACACACATTATGCAATAGACAATTACAGGTACAAGGAGAGGGGCCTTAAAAGCAATCTAATAGATCACTTTTCAACATACTCATGAGCATAGCGGTGGTGTTTCCAAATAGATTCAGATAGACTTGGAAGTGTTTTCATATAAGAATATTCCTTTCTGTCATAGTAAGGGCAGAATTGGAAGTGGCTTCTCTTTTTTTATATTAAAATTAGCAAAGAGAGATCATTCCCAACTTGAGAGATGTGAAGAATCAGAGATGGGACCGATTTGCAAGCTTCTGACTTGGGTATGTGGTTATGCTGAAGCCACGGCACCACTCCCTGTGTCTTCCTCCTATGGCTACACAGTAGCCTGGGAGTTACTACTGTTTTCAAACAGTGTTAAGTCCTTCTTGGGTAGCAGGAGACGGTGCTACAGCTCACAGCCAGTCCTCTGCCTCAGTGCATCAGGGTGGTAGTAGTGCTCTCCTGCCCAGGCAGTGAGGCAGTCATGTAGAGGGTCCTTTTCAGTCTTGCATTCTTGGAGAGACAGTCTGGACTGATGTAATGACAAAGTAAGGATGGTGTTTTGTATTTATATAGCAATCCAAAATTCATTGCTCCATAAGAAAAAAGTGTTGCTACAATAACTGTGATGTTTAGAGCCACTTCCAATTCTGCACAAGGGGGTGGGAAGGAGGCTGCTTTCACTGCTGTTTTGGATGTTTAGGCTGCTGCTCCTATGGAGCCAGAACAGGCCCAGCTTTAGGAAATAGCAGTTCCCTGCCCTTTGACCCAGAACTGCCATTTGAAAGCACATTTCTGTTGGCCTGCATTGTATTATGTGTGTTTAACATATAATTATGTGACTCATAATAAGGTACATTGTACTGAAACATACAGCAATATATATTGCATTTGAGAAATGTGCAATAGGACATGAATATAGTACATAAAACATATTGACTATTTTGTTGTCTCTTGAAAGCCCATTAATACCCAATTACCATGCATTTCAGTACAGTGTTAATTACAGATGCCATCTGCCTTGACTCACTCTCTCAACCTTCTGTCTCTCATCTCTTTGCCTTCTTTGACTCTGTCACCCCCCTGACTGCACCATAATTTCTTAACACCAAATGCCTGAGAAACAAAAGCCTTCAAGGTGAAATGCTGCCCCAGCTCCCTGCCTGACTCCCCTAGCCCCTACAAAGTCACCCCTAACCAGGCTTCCAAGACCACAGATGTTGGAATTCTCCTTAACCAAATTTCTGACCTCTCTTCTTTTACCTTATCTGCGCACCCACCTGTCACTACCTCGAGAACATTGTCATAACACATCTTTAACTTGTCCCTTGCCAAAAACTCATTCCTGCCTCCACTGCTTCTACTCTTTGCTAGCGCATTTTGCTCTTTCATAGTACTGCTCTTGAAAGGTAACTGTGGCTAGAGTGCCCTCTCAGTCCAGGATTGCCATACCCTCGCCTCTGGCTATTTCTAAATCTCATTGGATTCCCAGAACCTCCACAGGTTCACTTTACTTTCCCATTTTACTCATCCTTCCCTCTTTAGATCCACCCAGACCTCCACTCTCTCTCCTCATGACCCTCTACCATTCTACCCTTATGCATGCTGCCCTCTCTACCTGAGGAGCTCACTTCAAGCCACAAAGCCATTTCCTTATTTTTCAGCCCCCCCTTAAAGTTCCTTTTTCACTGTAGCTTGTTTGACTCTTGCTGTAAAACCATTTTATGATCCTCTGTATGAAGGATTCTATATAAATTGTATGGTATCCTTATTCTCTTGTGATGTACTGTACTGCAAATCTGGCAGATTTCAGTTTTGGTGAGTTATAATCATCAGCTAAATTAGAATACACATAGGGACAACCTAATCAATTTAAAGGACCCGCGCGTGACCTGGCTTAGATCGGAACAAGCTTGGGTCAGTTTAATCTGGCCCAATTTCATTTGCTCTCATTCCAATTCCAAGAATTGTGGTGAGCAAGATTCCTGTGCTGGAAAGAGCTGAGGTAAAGAGAATGCTGCATTTGCTAGTCCTAGTTCTAGCATGAATGTTTGGTGCCTCCTGCAGTTTTAGAGAAATGATCCATTTTCTTTTTGTAAATACACTGTGAGGAATATTTCCTTTACAAGTAAAACCCACCCCCAACAGCCTGATTTTTAAATTAGCATCTCCAAAGCCCATAGTTTTGTTGGAGGTACTTGCATATAGAGGTTTTGTAAATATAAAAAAGATCAAGGATGGGGAATTTGATTAATCACGAAGCATAAAAGAACTGATGTTCACTGCTTGTCCTTCTCTCTCCCTCTTCGTATTTATTTTTTTAGCATAGAACTTTCTTGAATAAGGATCTAGAATTATGAACTAAAACCCTGATTCAGCATGGTTTTTAACCATGTGAAAGCTAATAGGACTATGCCTGTACTTCAGCTTGAGCCTGTGCTTCTACGTCTTGCTGAATCAAGGCTTTAAATAGGGAGAAGAAATTGTCGTGGGTTCAGCTGGTTTATACTTGCTATGTGAAACAGTTGCCACGGGGGTAGTTTTTTATTTAAATGGTCAGGACTGCTGTTGTTTTCTGGCATTGTAGCTCAATCCGCCATGAACCAAAAGAAAGATATTTTTAAGTATTTTAATCCTCCGCCCACTGGGCCAGATTCTTCTTTCACTTAGGCCTCAGTCTTGCAAAGCACTTGAGTGTGAGCAGACCTTGAAGTACATTACCAGATGGGACTGGTTCTAAAAACCTGTTGCACACTTAAAGGAGGTGTAAGTGGTTTGCAGGATCGACGCCTTGCTCAGAGGCATGAATCAGCTGGATTGAGGCCTTGCCATTGCATAGGCAGGTGCAAGGGAGAAGAGAATCCATGCAGTTGGGGCAGGATCAGGCCCTTGGTCTGAATTTCTCAACTCGATGTGTTGGACTTTGCCTGTGCAGGTTCCAGGAAATTTAATGGAAGCTGCAGGGTTCAAGTCACTGCCATCTATTTGAGAATGTGCCTCTATCTTTTCAGTGTATAAAATAATGCAAAAAATGAAGTACAATGTCTGTGGTAGAAGCAAAGCTTTTTCAAATCCGTTTCTCAGGTAAACAAGTGACACTAATGACAATGGAGTAACAGCCATCTAAGAGAATTTGGATCATATAAAGGAGGATGCCCTCAATCTCACAGGATAGTTGGGTTGCTAGACACGTTTACTGAGCCTTTGAATGCTTGGTGCAAAAGGAAACAAGAAGTGAAATTTGTATTCACGGCTACCCTTCGATAGCGAGAAAAATGTACATTTCAAAAGCACAAAGGGAAAACTTAAAAAAAAAAAAAAAAGAAAATATAAAAAAGAAAGATACCAGTTAAACTCCTTTTGTCTTTTACTCCCAGTGGGAAGCAGGGTAGAAATCTAAGGAGATGCTCTGTTTCACTGCCTGCAGCGCTGGCTGTGGACATTTTGACTGCTGCCTACAGAGATTTGAATGTACTGCTCCTTAAGTTAACTTCCATAGAACTAGAGGCACCTCTTTAGTAAGTTGCTACTGCTTTATGGTGCTAAAGAAAACTTTTATTCCCCCCTTAAGCATTTAGGAGATATTAAATGGCCCTTTTTATGAATGTAACATATCCATTTCTGTTTAACATTTTACACTGCAATTTTAACATGTTTGGAAATTATTTGCCTTTTTTCTTTTAGAATAAGCTTTATAAATATTCTGTAGAGTCAATTGAAGTATAATTCTTAAGGATCACTCTAAGACGCCTACAAAATCTTGTATATTTTTAAGTGTGCCAATTTGTAAAATATTTTGTAAGTGTATATTTTTCTTAGAAAAGTGCTGTGAAGTGTTTGTATGTGTGAGGTTTCCCTTTTTTTGCACCTTCGGGTGTTAATAAAAGGATGTATACTTAAAAGTTTCTGGTTTTAAAAACCAAAATACAAAGAAAAAAATTAAACTTTTGTTGGGAATTTTGTAATAAAAAGAAATG